GTTTTTATTACTGTTGATGTTACCATGTATCACATCTGTTGTCATTACGTATTGTATGCGTGTGCTTTGGCTTATTGTCGTAACCGGAAGTGACGTAGAGAGAGAGAGAGAGAGAGAGGAAGTGATTGCGTCATTTTGCTCCCTCCCCCCCACATTTACGTGTTGGTTTCTCAAATATCCTTTCTGTATTTTCACGCACATGATCTGGCTCTGTTGCCACCACCGTTTCTTTGCTGTTGCTGTAGGAGGACGATAAATCCCATTTGCGGGGGGTGGGGGAGGGACCGAGTTCGTATTTTCCAATAAAAAAAATGGATGAGTAATACGTGACGTAACTTCCACGCTTGATATTCTTTTCTTCCTGCCTAAAAAAAAATGTAACAGCCTGTAAGAGTTTGATTCGAGGTGCGAACCTTCCCGATTTAAAAAATAATAATAATAATAATAATATTGTAACATTGTTTTTTTTTTTTTTGTTTTGTCGATGGCGCGAAATTTAATTCAAGGCAGCAAAAAAAAAAAAAAAAATGATAATGCTGGCGAACATGAATAAGTGATACGGGATACTTTCAGACAAAATGGGTCAAGGTTTATTATGATAAAGGGAAAGAGAAAAAAAAATTAGACTTTTTTATTCGTTGCATTGTAAATGTATAATGAATCGTACCTGAATTAAAAAAAAAAAAAAAAAAAGGAAATTACTACATTTTCCTACCTGAATTTTTTATTGACAATGAACGGGGCTAATTTTTTTATGTACACAATATTAAAATATTATAAATCCTTGGACGTTCAAGTTAAATTGAACTTATACGGTTGTGAAATTTAAACAATTATCATATTGTTATTACCCGAAAAAACCAAAACGATTTATGTCCGCGTAATTAATTTTATTACGTTTAGTTTCTTTTGACATCGCATGCATTACAACCTATTAAATTGTGTTCGTTTTTTTTTTTTTTTTTTTTTTTTTTTCTCCTCAGGGGTGTGTAAAATTGTTGCTATGCAAATATTCTAACGTGTAAAATTTCTTATATGGTATTGTTAGGTGTATTAACTTTTCTCTCTCTCTCTCTCTCTCTCTCTCATTTCGTTTATTTCTCTCTCTCTCTCTCTCTCTCATTTCGTTTATTTCTCTCTCTCTCTCTCTCTCTCTCTCTCATTCATTAATTTTAAATGATTTTTCGCCCGTTAGTCTTCGTATTTACACATTTAAGGTCGGGTGCGATCGGTGAGATTCGAAGATTCGTGTTCCCCATTGTGTATTATTATTACCGTGTGTAAAAATGGCAACGTTGTTTTGCCAACAACGCATCGTATTGTTGTAGATGCGGTTTGTTAATAATTATAAATAACGAGTAAATACGAGCTGCACATTTGAAATTAACGTGACAATTATTTCAATTAGACGATTATTATCGTGCGAATTATTTGTTTTCGAATTAGAAAACAATTACTACTGTATTAGTGTTTAATTGTTTGTTTGTTTGTTCGTTTGTTTTCGTTTGTTTGTTTTTCTTCTCTCTTGTCTCCCGCTCGTCTTCGATTTAACGAGAAAAATAAAAAAATTTTTTTTCAAAGACTTTACGCGGTCATCGTTTACTCATTTTTGGTCACCACTGAGTCAATTTCATTCTTGCGCCGACACACAATTACGAAATGTAAATAAAAATAACATTGTCGTAAGTTAAACGTGAGCGAAACGCAACTTTTTTTTTTAAAGAATGAAAAAAAAAACCACGTATAGATAAACACATGATTTCGGTGTGGAACAGCTGATCCCGGGAAGTTAGGAGTCAGTTCGAAGCCGGTTCGGGGTTCCGCAAGTTGGGAAATTTTTTTTTAACTTGTTATAGGTCAGTATATGTAATAACGGGGTGTTAATCAATTATTATTATTATTATTATTTTAAATATTACTTCCTCTTGAAAGGGAAGCAAACAAACAAACAAACAAAACAAAACAAACGTCGGTTGTTGTTGTTCGGTGAAAGGAAGGATTTATTAAGAAAGTAAATTTGTCACTCCTGGATTCGTTTTTTTTACACATACAAACATCATCCAGGTATTATTATTATTATTATTATTATTATTATTATTATTATTATTATTATTATCATGATGAATTGTTTTTTTATTTTATTTCGCGTTGAAGGGCTTTTTGTTTTTTTTTTTTTTTTTGTTTTCTGCTAGCCTAATTATTAAGGTCGTTTTTATTTCTTTCATTGAAATGTTTTTTTTTTTTTTTTGTTTTTATGTGTCTCACAAGGGAACAAAGCGCAATCGAATTGAACGATAGCAAATAGAATTTTTTTCTCCCCCTCCTCCCCTCCCCCGAGTCAATAATATAAAGATTGTCGTGTGTGTGTGTGTAAGCAAACTAATGATGTCGTGGTTGTAGATTTTTTTTTTTTTTTTTCAAGTGTTGGCACTTTGTAAAATTCGAAAACTCTTCTTTTTTTGTCGCTCCTCTTTTTTTTTCTTAAAAAAAAAAAAAAAGTTATGGCGCGATCGATTCATTTGTCAAATTTTTAAATTATTTGTCGTGAAGGTTGGTGGTGGTGGTGGTGGTGGTGGTGGGGGGTAGTGAGTGGGAGAGGCATAAAAAAAAAACAAAACGTTTGTACGGTATGTTATTTCAACTCATTATCATTTCCAAAAAAAAAAAGAAATAAATAAATAATAATAATAATAGGAAGTCAACGGTTTTTTTTTTTTCGTACGGAAAAAAAGAAAAATTATTCATTTGCATTTGAATTGGATTTTTTAACGGACGGGGATTAAAACAATGAGAGAGAGAGAGAGAGAGGAGGGGGTGGAGGGGGACAGGTAGTGGGAGGGATAGAGACGGAGACAAAGAAAGAGAGAGAGAGAAAAAATCTATTAATTTTTAATATTATTATTATTATTATTATTATAAAACGAACGATGGATTTTGCTCCGGTTGACGAAATCTATATATATATATCGTGCCTTTTTTTTGCTATTGTTAAAGCGTGGGCGCGCACGCACACACAAATTTAAAGTCGTTGTTAATAATTTTTCTTCTTGATATTTTTTTTTTTTTTGTAAAAAGTTAAAAGGAGGAAAAGGTGAAATGAGCTGACGATGAGATGACAGAAACAAAAAGAAAAAAAATTAAAGATGGCGGAAAATTTTGTTTTCTCTCTCTCTCTCTCTCTCTTCTTTCATTCAATCATTCGAATTTTTATTTTTTTTCTCCAAAATAATTTTTATTTGGTTTTGTTGTTGTCGTTGTTGATATTATTATTATTTATTATTATTATTATTATTATTATTATTTACATATAAATTTTATATGTAATAAATATATAACGCGGGTCAATGGTCAATTTTTTTCACAACTATCATCAATATTATTATTATTATTATTATTTATTTTTTTTTTTTATCTGACTGTCTGAAGGCTAAAAAAGAAAAATTTCCGCCATTTTTATTTATTTATTTATTTTACTTATTGGTGAGAAATATTAAAGCAGTCGACGGTTATGAATCGATCGGACAGAATGAATACTTCAAAACCTAAGTTGTAATAATATATTTATATATATTATAATTAAAAGGAAGGGGGAAAAAAATAATATAAATAAATAATTTGACGGGGTAGCCATATTTTATTAATTATCATTATTACGGTTAATTTTTTTATTTAAAATGAAAATAATAATAATAATAATAATTTAAATATATATGTAAAAGCGGAAGTTGATGATGAGACTTATTGGGAAAAAAAAAAAAAATTAAAAATAATTTTAATGACACTTTTTAAAGTGTAATTAGAATGTTTTTGAATTTAAAAAAAAAAAAAAAAAAAAAAAAAAAAAAAAAACGGATTTTTCGCGGTCGTTAATTTGACGTATTGCGTTGCGGTGGTGGGGTGGGAGGGGAAGGGAGCGAAAGCGGCGGCGATTGTTGCGTCGAGGAAGAAGTATGTGGAGGAGGAGAAGGAAGGAGGGGAGGGAGGGTGGGGTGGGCGCGGGCGCGGCGCGCGATCGTTGCGTCGCAGGGGGTGGAGGAGGAGGGTGGGGAAGGGGGTGGGGGTGGGCGCGCGATTGTTGCGTCGAAGAAGAAGTGGGAGGAGAGAGGGAGGGAGGAGTCAAACGAGAAAGGGGGTTGGGGTATTATACACTGTATAAATGTATTTGACCGTTACGTAAATTATTTCGAGCATGCGCAGTTTGAACGACAACGTGACGAGAAACGGTCGAATTCGAATCGTTGAAATTTCAAATTTAATCAGAGTTCGCGAATGATTCGTGTTGGATTTTTTTTTACTTTGTTAAATATTAATTTTTTTTTTTTTTTTTTTTTTTTATTTCTTGTGCTCGTGAAAGGTTTGTATTATTTTATTTATTAAATTAAGTAAAAAATTTAAAAAAATTTTGACGTGTTTGTTAATCGTACGGAAAAATAAATTGTAAAAAAAAAAAAAAAAAAAAAAAAAAAAACGGAGTGTTCGTTAAACTTTTTTTTTTTTTTTTTTCGTTTAATGCCCAGATGCGATCGGATTATTATTCTTTTAGATGATCTTACGAGTGTTTGTGAAGGGATGTGGGGAGTGGGGTGGGGGGTGAGAGCGTGGAATGAGCAGGCACGACCGACGGCATTCTGCTTCCCCGATGTAAATTTTAAAATTATAAACGATTAAAAATAAAAAAAAATGAAATTGTATTGCATTTGATTTATTTATTCTTTTTATTAAAAAGTTTGGCCCGTTAAAAAAAAAAAAAAAAAAAAAAATTCAATTCCGAGAAATTTGTTTTGAACTTTCCGAAGCTTTTTTTTTTTTTTTCTAATTTTAGAAAAAACTTTCCACGGGAAAGTTTTTCGTTATTTTTTTTTGCACTCGACGTTTAAAATAAAATTTAATAATTTGAACGTTTCGAAAATATATATGTGATTCCGTGTGCGCGCACATTGATGTCAACCGTTTGTCTATTGACACGAAATATTTTTCGATAACGTTTTTTTTTGTTTCAGGTAAATAGCGAATTAGAAAAAGAAAACGGTCAACTCGAACTTTTTGCCGACTTGTCTGAATATCACGTGTATACGACATTAAATGCCAAAAATCAACTTCGGGCTCCGACGGAATTCGGTATCTGTTTGAGGCCGACAAATTCATCGTCGTCGACGCCGCCGACGTCATCGTCGTCGTCGTCGAGCGAACAATCCCATAAGGAAATATTAGCCAGATTGAAATGTTTGGCTTGTGAAAGTGAGAGAGCAAGACTCTGTTGGATAACAGCCATGAGATTGGCAAAATACGGAAAACAACTTCGGGAAAATTATAGATCGTTTAAAAACAAACAATTGGAAAACACGAGTCCCAAAGAGTACAATAGCTTCGTAGTACCAAATGTGAGTATCGATAATATATCGAATATAATCGATAAGTGATTGATTGATTGATTGATTGATTTTTTTTGTTTGTCTTATAGGAAAGCGTTAGATCTCGAGTAGCGATGGATTTCACGGGAAGCGTCGGGCGAATCGTTGAAGATCCGCAAGAAGCGAAAGCCATAGCACTCGCCGAGGGATACTGTTGGAAAAAAAGATGGAGACCCATAGCGAGGCATCCGACGGGTAAAATAGTACACATTCAGGGAATAGAAGCCGGAGTCCACGTAATGCAACCCTGGTTTCATTCTGGAATGACGAGAGAACAGGCAACGTCGCTTGTGGCCAAACACGGTACCGTTGACGGGTGAGTTTTCCGTTGATTTTGTTTTTTTTATTCACTAACCGTCCGAACCCTCCCCCCCCCCCATTCCGCCCCCCGAGACTTATATAAATTTGAGGTTTTTTTTCTTTTTCTGTTTTTAGCGTGTTTTTAGTTAGAGACAGTCAAAGTAGTCCGGGAGCTTTCGTATTAACACTTAAATTCGGAGCAAAAGTTTTACACAAGGAAATAACACCCATGTCGAGTTCGCATCAGGACACCATTTGTTACACTTTAGACAACGGTCAAACAAAATTCTACGACCTTTTGCAATTAATTGAATTTTATCAATTGAACACGGGTTCCCTTCCGACAAGACTGACGCATTATCTCGTTCAGAGTCCGACGGGAGTTTTGTACAAGGAAAAATCCAGGATACGGGACACACCCGGAAGTTATTGAAAAAGGATAGGAGACGTTGGAAAGGATAGCAAGGCAAGGAGGCGGATTCCTGGATCTTCTTCCAACATTATTTCACAAGAAAACCTGAGATTTTTTTTAAAATTTGAAAGTGCCTTTCAAATGATGAGAGAGAAGGACTGTATATTGTATACGATTGATAATAAGGAGAAAATGGCGCGAAAACGACAGGAAGGAAGTAGATGAATTTTGTTAAAATGGTACATATCAGTAACGCGTTCGGTTTCGATACATACCGAACGAGTAATAATAACGTATACGATTTTTTGTTTTTTTTTTTTTTTTTTTTTTTGGAAAAGTTTACCGGGAAAAATTTGCTGTTGAGGAAAATTATATGTAAGGAAATGATAATCAGGTACGCGAAAAGTATTTGAATAAAAAAAAAAAAAAAAAATACGTATAGTTGTTTAATGATTTGCTCTCATATCAATGAATTTTGATTATATGACCAAAATGCGGTATTATTATTATTATTATTAATTATTATTATTATCACTACTGCTACTATTAGTACTAGTACTATTGAAATCGTGATAATCATCATCATCATCATCAGTAACGTTCGAAATGATTTTTTTTTTTAAATATATTTTAAACGATAATTATCGTTGTTGTTGTTGTTGTTTTTATTATTATTATTATTATTATTATTATTATCATTATCATTATTATTATTAAAAATATTAAATTATGAGGAAATTGTATATAATGTTGTAGGCAATTTATTATTAATATGTAAATAAAAGAGAAGGAAGGAATCGATTATTACGTCATTAATTAATTAATTAATTATTATTTATTTTATTTTCTAGTACAAATTTTTTGTTAATGATGATGATGATGATGATGATAGTTTTTTTATATTTATAATTATTATTATTATTACTATTACTAATCGTTATTATTTATTTATTTATTTAATTAATAAATTAATTTCTCAAGATCTTTTTTTTGTATACGTGACTCTCGAATCGTTTTTATTTTTTCCTTTATTTATATGTAAATAAATTGTAAATAATAAAAATAATAATAATAATAGTGATTAGTATGATGATGATGATGATGATGATGATAACAACGATAACGTAGCGTAATTTAAAAAAAAATTATAATTTAATTTCAGAGTATTATTAAATTTTTTTTTTTTTTTCATCTTCTTCTTCTCATTATTATTATTATCATTATCATTATTTAAATGAAATATAATTTTAATGAAATTTATTGATTTTTGAGTTATTTTCATTCCTTAGTTTTTTTTTTTTATAAGGCGGTGGCTGGAATTGAGAGGCAGAGAGAAGGGGGGGAGGGGGGGTGTGTAAATAATATAATAATAAATATTGTAAAAATAATAAAAATATAATTGATTTTATCGACAAACAAACAAAAAATAAATTATTTAAATAAATAAATAACTTATTTCAACAAAATATATAAATATATATAACGAAAAAATACAAAAATAATAATAAATTTAAAAAAAAAAAAAAAAAAGAAAATCATGATTGTAATAATAATAATAATAATGATTGTAAACTACAAAGGATAACATAAAATGGAAAATGTATTTAATAAATTAAATGCTGCTGAATCTTGACATTGTCCAAAACCTGCTATCTGTGGCCATTCTGTACCACCTGACAAACAAAGTGAAATAAAGGATTTATCCATATTTTTACAAGGGATTTTAGTTATGGTCAATTTTGCACCTAATTCTGTAGCTATGGATTTAATTAATTCCATTGAATTTTCCATAGATGTTGGAAAATTGTTTTTAATTAAATCATCAAGTGTTTGACTTGTTTCATTTAATGTCATAAATGCTTTGTGATGATCTTTGTAAAGTACAGCCCTATTTTTTTTCACAACAGCCATATTATTACCTTTAAAATGACTGCTATATCTTTTAAATATTTCTTCTTTTGTTAATATTAATTTCGGAACTAATGTGTATGATTTGTTAAGTAAATTTCTATCGTTGATAATTTTTTTCGAAGTCAACATATCATTATCATCATCATCATCATTCGCAGAATCTGGACTATTCAATGATAATTTTTTTAATCTCTCCAACATTTTAAATGCTCCTATTTGTTTAGCTCCTTTTTTTGTCGATGATATGCCATATTCTTGTAACTGTGAGACAAAACAAACCATTTTAAATACTTTACAATGAGGTTGACCAGATTCTTCTTCGACTTGGTAAGTCGGCTCTGGATATGGATTCATAAGACAATATTCTTTTAACATTCCCACATAATTTTCACCCGGATCCATTTCATCATATTTATCATATTGTTTTTTCGGTACTGAACTATTCGTTTCATCGACATTTAATTTTTTCAACATATTTTCCGCTGCATTATGTTTTGCTTCTCGTTTAGATTTTCCTTTGCCATCTTCGAATAAATCATTTACGTGAACCCTATAGATAAATAATGGATTGTGAGTACCTACTCCGTTGTGTAACAATTCGTAAGATGGACATTGTTTTAATGAAACTAAATATTCTTGTAAAACAGACACGGGAGTCTTAAAATCATCCATTTTAACAATAAATATTATATTAAATAATTTTCATTAGTAAGTATCAAAAAAAAAAAAAAAAAAAAAAAAAAATGTTAAAATAAAAAACAACAAGTGTTTAACTATGAACGAGTAGTACTTGACAAAATGTCAAGAATATTCGTTCAATTTGCTACGGGAAAATAAAAAATCGTCACGTTGCATTTTCAAAAACGATTATAAACATATTCGTTTTCGTTAAATAAATATATTTATTCAGTAAATAATGTCGGAAATTGAAAAAAATTTACGGGAAATTTTAATAAAATACATATTATTACGTTTAAAAACATTAATTTTAATAAAATACGGTTTTACTTAATTATTATTATTATTTAAAATAATTACATAATTCGTCAAATTTTTAAAATTTTATTTCTCATTTACGATGAGATGATAAATAAAATAAAACGTAAAAATTTTTATTTAATTATATTTAAATATTTATCAGTTTATGTTTTTATATATATATTTTAAAAATATGTTTTAATTTATAAAAAAATAATTTTTTTAATTATGTTTTAAATTATTTATTTTATTATTAATTGTTTTATATTGTAAAGCGTTGCCGGAGATTGATGTGATGACGCATCTTCTGCTTTCATATAATTTTTTCAATTTTAATTATTTTTAATTAATAAAATGTAAAATATTATTTATTATTAATTTCGAAATGGATATTTTTTATTTATAATTATTATTTTATTCGAATCGAACGACATTGTTACTAGTTTTTTGACCTTGGTTTTGTTTTTATTATAATTTACCAAACAAGCGTTTGTTATTTGATTTTTTTTTTTAATACAGTCTAAATGGTTTAATATCGGTTTTAAAACCAAAAAAAAAAAAAAAAAAAAAATTTAATTGCCTTGAGGGAATTTAAGGCAATTAAAAAAAAAAATTTCAATTTCATTTATCTATTGGTGAACGAGTTATAATAAGTTTATCGCATATAAATTCAGTCGACGATTTACGTTAAAACGTTCAATATCGTTAAATTAAAATGTGTGGGATTTGGCTTTTGTGCGGTTTGCATTCATATGAATCTTTACATAGAAATGATTGTTTTACAAAAATATCACACAGAGGTCCAGATGCCTGGAGATTGGAAATGGATTCCAGAATGAATAATATAATATTGGGTAAATTTGCCTTTTGTCTCCTTTTTCTGAAATGTTATTAATTATAAAAATTATCTGTAACAGATTTTTTACCTTTTTTAGGATTTCATAGATTATCGATTGTCGATGGACTTCACGGTATGCAACCTATGCAAATTCACAAATATCCATTTTTAACATTGATGTGTAATGGAGAAATTTATAATAATAAAAAAGTAATTTTTATACATTTTTTAATTTAAATTTAATAATAATTGTATTTTCATGTAAAAAATATTATTATTTTTTTTTTTTGCAGATCGGTGAAGATTTTGGTTTCGAATATGAAACAAAATGCGATGTTGAATGTATAATACATTTATATGCAAATGGAGGAATTGAAAATGTTGTTAAAAATCTTGATGGTGTCTTTTCTTTCATATTGATAGATGCTAAGGAAAAAATGATTCACATTGCTCGTGATCCATATGGAGTCAGACCTTGTTTCATGCTTAAAACAAATATGGGAATTTTTGGAGTTTGTAGCGAAGCAAAAGGTTTTGTAAAATGTAAATTTAATTTATTATTATTTTAAATCATTTTTTTACTTTGAAAATTTTCAACTCACAGGACTTATTTCTCTGGAGCCTGAGTTAAAAGGTGCAAAATGGGAAATTAATCCATTTCCTCCTGGTTGTTTCGAATCATATGATGTTGATGATGAGGGGAGGTTGACGATAAAATTACACAAACGTTATTACGAAATAGGAATCAGCAAACCTGGATTCAACACATTTGTCCCATTACAAGGTTGATTTATTTATTTATTTTAATTAAATTTAAATATTAATTGTTAACTATTGTATGATTTGTTAAAAATTTTAGATTTGGATGCAAAAAGCATGAAAGAAAATATTTGTCATCTTTTAACGGCTGCAGTGGAAAAAAGATTAATGTCGGATAGAAGAATAGGTTGCATGTTGTCAGGTGGTCTTGATTCGAGTTTGGTAGCAGCCCTTTTGGTAAAAGCAGCTAAAAAACATAATATTCCATACAAAATTCAGGTTTGATTTTTCTAATAGAAAAAGAAGAGAAATTAATTTTTTTTTTGTTAAAAACTAAATTATTTTTAATTACCACACTTGTAGTCGTTTTCCATCGGTATGGGAAATTCTCCGGATATTTTAGCAGCGAGACAAGTAGCAAAACATATAGGAACCGAACATCACGAAGTTATTTTCACGGAAGAAGACGTATCGAAAGTTTTGGATAAAGTTATACACACGTTGGAAACTCCAGACATAACGACGATACGAGCGTCAGTCGGTAAGCAGTAGAAAAAGTTAATGCCACGACTTTTTTTTTTTTTTTTTTTCCCCCCTCTATAAAATCTTTTCCTTTTTTTTTTTTTTTTTTTTTACTAATTATCACTGTTTTTAGGTATGTACATATTATCAAAATACATAAAAGAAAAAACGGATTCGACGGTTATTTTCAGCGGAGAAGGAGCAGACGAAATAGCTCAGGGATACATTTATTTCCGTGACGCTCCAGATTCCATTTCCGGTCACGAAGAAAGCATAAGATTACTTAAAGACATTTATTTATTCGATGGTCTTAGAGCGGATAGAACAACGGCTGCACATTGGTTTTTATTTTTATTTTAAATTTTTTTTTATGAAATTATATTTTTTTAACGGTTTTTAATTAATTTTTTTTTTGTTTCAGTTTGGAATTACGACTTCCGTTTTTAGATCTTCAATTTTCTTCATATTATTTGAGTCTTCCGGCAGAAGTCAGGCAGCCATTGAACGGAGTAGAAAAACATTTGCTGAGAAGTTGTTTTGAAAATTTAAATCTCATTCCGAATAATATTTTATGGCGTCACAAAGAAGCTTTCAGGTATTTGATTTTTTTTCCTGAATTTTCCAGTGTTTTCCATGCGAGAGTTTTAATTTGATTACGTTTTGTTTTGTTTTGTTTTTCCAGCGATGGCGTGACGTCAGTGACGAAATCATTATTTCAAATAATACAAGAAATAATTGACGGAAGAATATCGGATGAAGAATATAATTCCTCGTCGTCGAATTCATATAATTTTTGCCCACCAAAAACAAAAGAAGCATTTTATTACAGGTAAGATTTCAAATCATTTTTCTATAAATTTCACCCGACTTATTATTATTATTATTATTATTATTATTATTACGTTTTTTTTGTACAACAGGAAAACATTTGAAAAAAATTATCCGGGTCATTGTGATAAATTCATGAAATATTATTGGATGCCGAAATGGACGGATGTTAAAGATCCATCGGCGAGATTTATTTCTCATTACGCTCCTGAAAATTCGGAATAATAATCGGAAAATATCGATTTTGGTTATTGTTTGTTTACCCCCCCCCCCCCCGTCTCCGTCTCCGTTCGCTTATCATTCATTTATTATCAGTATTAAAAGCATTTAATTGATGATTCGGTTTTGTTGTTTTTGTTGTTTGTCGAGAGGAAAAATCGTTAATTATGAGGAAAAAATAAGGGGAAAAACAATGACGATAATAATAATAATAAAAATAATAGTGATTATTTTAAATATAATTTTAAATCATGATTTAACTTAACTTGATTATGTTTTTTATTTTATTTATTAAACCCCCCCCTCCTCCTCCCCCGTTTGACACCATTATTATTATTATTATTATTAATTAAAACTAAAATGGAGGGGAAAATAAAATAAGAATTAAATTTGAGAGAATTAAATTTATTTATTTAATTGAAAAATTAAACACACAGTAAATAAAATTATTATTATTATTATTAATTAATTAATAACAGAGAAAGAGAGAGAAAGAGCAAGAGAGTGAGAGAAAGAGAGAGTAGGAAAAACTTATTTATTTCTTTTTTAAATTTCACGTTCTGTAAAGCTTAATTTTAGCGGAACATCCGGAAAAGAGATAACTGTTTTCGTACCGTGTATTTCACCATAGTTATATTCTATTTGATAATTCCTTATTATTTTAGCTATGCAAGATTTCAATTGTACTTCTGCCAAATGTTTTCCCACGCATGACCTTATCCCGTAACCGAAAGGTATGAAGGAAAATGATTGTATGTTGGTAGGTTCGAACCATCTTTCCGGTATGAATTTATCGCTTTTTTCAAAATTTTGCTCTTTCAAACAAGCCGATTGTATGTCCATGACCATGTAAGTACCCTTGGGTATGCGAAAATTGGATAGAGCAATGTCGGTGGGCAATACTCTCGTCAGAGTCGGCATGGGTAACTTCAATCTTAGACTTTCTTTCAAGCAAGCATCCAAATATTTAAAATTATTTAAAGTTTTGTATTCGAGCCGAGAATGTTTTTCCGGTAGAAATTCTTTTATTTCCTTGAACAGAGTTCTCTGGGATCTTTGATTTTGCGCCAGGTGATATAGGAAAAATGCTAATGCGCTGCTCGTCGTGTTGACGCCGAGTAGTAGCAAATCCACGATGCAAGTCAAAACTTCATCCGGCGACAAACATTCGTTGAGCAAAAGATTTTCTATGAATGAAAGATTCGTTTCCGTTTTCTCTCTGTTCATTATTATATCCGTTTTATTACGAGTCAAATTCACTTGTGCGAGTCTCACGTATTTCGATATGAAACTGTCGATTATTTCGCATGATTGAGTGAGACCCACGGATGCCGGAGTGTTCATGAATCTCCAAAGTTGGAACCCTGATTCGCATTTGCATATGTTGTGAGTCGCGTCTATCAGGGATTTGAGCAATCTTAACGGTTCGGAAGTCGAATTCGCGTCGGGATTGTGAAAACCCAAAGATTTACCCAAAGCGACGAAACACAAACATTCCAGACTCCATTTTGTTATTTCGACCAAGAAATCCGGGGGTACTTCGCTCTGTTTGTTTTTAATCGCACCTATCCTTCTCACGAACATGTCTCCCGCTTCGTCGATGGCACCGAAATACCTTTCTCCACCTTTGGCAAGCGGTTCGTTGAGCGCTTTTCTCATTTCTTCCCATTCGACTCCGTAGAGACTGAAAGGACCCCCGGAATTCTTTCTAAAAACGGCTCGACATTTTTCAACGGAATCCAACGTGAAGCGGACGGGATGTTTACCCTCTTGATCGTACACTTTTCCCACGTGTTCGGGTTTGTTTATGATAACGATATCCGCTCCCAGAGGACCCTGGAGTTTGACAATGGGCCCGTACTTTTTAAACAACCTGTCGAAAGGACGTCCCTCGACTTTTCCCAATTTCGTGTAATCGGCAATTTTTTGCGTGATGTTGAAAAATGAAAGCATGGTCGACACGGTGGCTTGACACCCCAATTCCGGTAGGTATTTCCACAGGCTCGATATTTTTTTCAAAAAAACCGGTCCGGGTACTTCTTCGAAGGGATCCGCGTGTAGGAGGAGTTCGTTTGCGGCATCTTTTTTCTGCACGAGGCTCACGTCCAAAGGTTGTGGAGTCACTTTGGTACTTTCCAAGGCATCATTTTGACCTCCCCTCGCGGTTTTTTCAATCGGTTCCGTTTGACTCCTTTCCTCCGTCGAGTACATGTTATTATTATTATTATTATATTTTTCACTTTCCTTATTCGCATTATTATTATTATTATATTCTTCTTCTTGTGGATTTACATTATCATGTTTTCCGGCGAAATTACTTTCCGTTTTTGATGGTTTTTGCAATGGTTCGTTTGTATTATTAACCGAACATGTTGATAAAAACGGTTTCGATTTGTAAATGCATCTTGAATATTTTGTAAGAAACATTTTCTCCCTTTTTTTTGTTTTTTGTTTTTGTTTTAATGTTTCCTTAAAATAAACATTAAACAAAAAAAAAAAAATTTATAATTTACAGGAATCCATATTTATTCATTCCCTTTGATTGATTTTCATTTATTATTTTTTTTTATTTATTTTTTTTTCTGTCTTCTGCTATTTCGTCATCGTTGTAACTATTTTTTTTTCTATTGACGCACAATATGTCGACAAAATTCAAAATTTTTTTCGAATGTCGAACGTTTTTATTAAAATTCAACCCTGAAAAAATAATAATTTAATTAATTAATAATAATGATAATAATAATAATTGAATACTTGGTGAAAATAGTGTGACGTCATTAAATCAATAACAAACTCGGAATGATGGCGGGTTTTTTTTTTTTAAATAAAAAACGTTTTAACGCCTTTTTTTAAAACGATAAATAAATAAATAAATAAATAAATAGTTGAATTATTAACTCTCTCTTTTTTAAGTTATTAATTACGTCAAGTTATTTTCAACGGTCGTCACGAAATAATAATAATAATAATAATAAGGTACGCAACGGATCAATAATAACGGTCACTTTACAATCGAATGTTTTTAAATAAAAAAAAGCGCGCCAAAAATTTAAATTTCGTTCGAATGAATTTTCGGTTTAAAAAAAAAAAATATGGCGGGAATTAACAAATATTGATTTTATTTTTATTTAAATAAATTTTGAAATTTCTCAACGATAAAGAAATAAAAAAAAAAAAAATTTTTTTTTTTTAAATGTTGCCGACATTGTGTCGTAACGTTTTACTAAAATAATGTGATAAAAAAAAAATAACCATTTTAAAAATATGTTGTTGTGAGTGAGAGTGAGAGAGTGTCATCGTTATCGCGTTGCCAACCTAACAAAATTTTTTTTGAATTTGAAAAAATTTCCAACAGTTAGAATCGGTTATTCGTTACCGTAACAGTACATTTTTGTCCGTTAAATTTTTTTTTACGTTAACGATCGTCGCGAATAATAATTTTTTAAAATGTTTTCATCTCCGTGATTAATTAAAACATGTTGTCGTTGTGTTATTATTATTATTATTATTATTATTAAAAAAAAATTTTTGTTTTTTTTTTTTTTTGTAATCATGTTCGAATTAAAAACGATAATAATATTTTTTATAATAACGTATTTAAATAATATTCATTGCGATGATGAAACTTTAAATAAATTAATTTCGAATCATCAACAACAAAATGGTGAGTCGTTTGTTAATTAAAAATCCAAAAATAAAATGTCAAGTTTAAACGTAAAACGAGAGAAACCCATGAGGAAAAAATACTAACAGTAATATTATTATTATTATTATCATTATTAAAGTTCGAACGCCATGTTTGTGAGTAAAAATTTTCATGATTTTCCATTTCGAACGGAATTCGTGAGAGATTTTAAATTTAAAAAAAAAAAAACCGTTAAAAACCGTTATTGAAAATGAAAACGATAACGATAACGATGATGATGATGAGTGCAATAATAATAATAATAATAATAATAATTCTGGAAGAGGCGTTACGTGGGACGACCCACATTTTTTGTCGGAAAATTTTATACGTGTACCATCATCATTGATTGATTATTCCTGAGGGATCCAGGTAGAAACCTGGAATAAACTCTGACAAGTACACAAAATCTTGTCGCGTTTAAAAGTGATGATAATAATAATAATAATAATAATAATAATGAATATATAAATAATAAAACTACGACCGGTAACAGTTTTCCGTTTTCGTTTCCCGTTTTCTTTCTCCACATCCTGACCGTAATAATAATAATAATAATGATAATAATAATAATAATAATAATAATATACACGTTTTTTTTCCATTTCAGAATATTTAACGTCGAGTGATACGAATAATAATAATAATAATAGTAGTAGTAGTGATAACAACAACACGGAGATTTTCCTTCTCGCGACGAGTTCAATCCCGATTGTGAAAAACGACGAAATATCAGAATTTCCACCGGATTTATTTTCCGTGGAAATATTACAAAGGGGCGGAATCATTTTACACCTCGCGGGAGCCCTTTACAGTTTTGCCAACATTGGAATAATATGCGGAGATTATTTTTTACCTGCCGTCGATTGCATTTGCAGCGGTGATTATTATTATTGGTCCATCTGAAACTCATCCTTTTTAATCCTTTTACTCGTGGAGTGTTAAAAATTTGCAGCTTCTCTCTCTCTCTCTCTGTCTCTCTCTAAAATAAAACAAAAACGTTAAAATTAATTTTTTTTTTTTTTTTATTAACTTTTTAAATCGGTTATTATCATTATTCGAAAGTCGTAAAAAGTTTTTTTTTTTTTTTTTTTTAATTAAATTCTGATTAGGAATAATTAAAAAGAGAGAGAGAGAGAGAGAAAAAGCAAACCTGAAAACCATGATGATGATGATGATGATGATGATGATGATGACTTTTTTTTTAAAATAATTTTCCAGATTTAAATTTATCCCAAGATTTAGCGGCTGCTACTTTTATGTCATTTGCAACGACGGCTCCAGAACTCTTCGTAATTCTCATCGCGACATTTTTAACACAGTCGGATATTGGATTGGGAGCCGTCATTGGTGGCGGAATGTTTAACATATTAGGAGTTGCAACCGTCGGTGGTTTAGCGGCAAAAACCGTAATTCCCTTTAAAATAATAATAATAATAATAAATACGTAAGCTAAACACGTAATTAATTAATTAATTAATTTTGTTGTTTTTACAGTCCATAAAATTGGATTGGTGGCCACTTTTTCGAGATAGTACCGTTTACGTCATTTCCGTCGGTGGACTCGCATTTGTTTTATTCGATGGTTACGTCACACTTTACGAATCCTTATTTTTAATTACGTATTATTTCATTTATTTATTCATCATGTTTTGGAATAGGAAAATAAGAAAGAAAATAAAACAATTTGGGAAAATCATAAGAAGAAAAAAATTTAAAACTAATAAAAGTAAAAAATTAATTTTTTCTTTCTTTTTATGGCGCGTAAAAAAAAAAAAAAAAATTTAACGATTAATTAATATCGTTAACGATTGATTGATCGATCCATCAACCCGGTTTTCTCGGTGGGGGGGGGAAACAAAAAATTTAATCGATATATCGATACATCGATCGATCGATCGATCGTTCGAGATTTTCTAATCGAACAAACATAAAAAAATTGTTATCTATTTTTTTTTTTTTTAAAAAATTAATTGAAAAACAACAAAATGGTGGAAAATACAAAATGCATTGCATAATTTTTCTTTTGTTTTACCCGCCGATGACTTTAAATCGATTTTTTTTTTTTTACTTTTCTTATCTTATTGATATCCAACAAACAAACAAACAGACAAATGGAATATTTTTTGTATAAATTTGGTTTTCATAACAAAAAAATTTCAGTTAAAAATTCAACGGCATTACCCAACGTAGTTATGGACGATATAAAGCTCGGATGGGAAAAAAATAAAAAAATTTTACCCATAAGTGGACAAAGTGAAGAAGGTATGTGATGTTCTGGCATGGGGGGGGGGGGGGCGTGGCACCTTCTGGAAAATGTCAAATCATTCCTGTCACTATTTTTATTATTGCAGATGAAAAAAATGATGATGATGATGATGATGATGATCCCGAAACGGCATTTAAAGCTTATTTCATGCACTACGAAGAGTGCATCAGTTTAAGAAGATTGTCCCTAACAAGCAGAACGAGTTTGAATGAAAGAAGAAAATCGGTGAGAAGTTTAAGAAAACATTCGAGCGGTCATCAAAAAAGAAGTTCAAGATTATCCATACAGGTAGGTGGGGTAGTATCAAAAAAAAAAAAAAATTCCGGGGGGGGGAAAGGTAATAATATGATTTTGTTTCAAAAGGAAAATCCAAATTTCGACTCACCCAAAGAAATAGAAGAAGAAGAAGAAGTAGAAGAAAAACGAAAAGATGAATTAACACTTACAGATGACGAAGAACCGGAAGAACAAACATTCAAAATGATTTTTTGTACTTTACCGGTGAATTCGATTTGGAGTAAATTTTCATGGTTTTCCCTTTGGCCGGCATGTTTTGTATTTTACTGGACCATACCTGATACGAGAACAAAAAAATTTAAAAAATTTTATCCCGTTACTTTTATCATGTGTATTTTTTGGATTGGAATTTTGAGTTATTTTGCTACTTGGATGATTTCAAGAATCGGTTGGGTTCATTTTATTTTTTGCCCTTTTACACAATACAAATAATCCTCATGAGTAATTGAAAATTGGAAATTTATTATTTAGGTTTTGTTTTGGGAATATCCGAATCCATAATGGGTTTAACTTTTCTTGCCATAGGAGGAAGCATGCCGGAAGCAATATCGACCTATATAATGGCGAGACAAGGAGAGGGGGGACTCGGTTTTAGTAATAGTTTAGGTGGAAATACCATGGATATTTGTTTATGTTTAGGATTACCCTGGTTTTTAAAATGTTTAACAAATGACTCGGTTTGTTTTAATTAATTATTATCACAAAGATTATTGAGCAAATTATTATTATTATCATTAATACTATTTTTTTTACAGGTGGCAATTTATTCCGAAGGAATGCAATATAATGCTTTAGCAATAATTTTGGGAATTGTTGTTTTGGTTTCTGTCGGAATCTGTACTAAATTTCACATGAACAAAAAAATGGGATTCACTTGTTTATCATTTTATCTTTTATATATAATTTTATCTGTTTTAATCGAACTTGAAATAATTCCATTGAAAATAAAAAGCTGATGTTAAGGAATTTTCACATGAGAAAAGCACATTCATAAACTATTATTATCATTTTTTATATGTTAATGACTCGGTGACAAAAAAATTTATACTAAAATGTGTGAAAAATAATAAAATTCAAGACTGCGAATGTTTCTTTTTTGTTTTTGAAAAGAGGGGTAGGGTGGGGTAATAATAATAAATGTATTATAAAAATTAATTAAAAAAATTCAATTACCTTTGACTAATTTAAATGATTTCATGGCTGTAAATGCAAATAAGGAAATTCCCATACACAGGTAGATGAGTTTTTTATAATTATAAACGACTTTGTATTTTTTTTCATTGAAATGTCCACTTAAATTTTCTGGAAGTTTCATGCTATTGACCTAAATAGAAAATGATGTAATATTATTATTTACCAAAAATTTAAATACTTTATAATGTTTCATTTAGTTTTAAACATGGCAAATACCTGCAAAACCAGATCGATAAGATTGTCTGGACCTTGTAATTTATCAATAATGTTATTACATTGCTCGAGTGAAACATTTGAAAATAATCGAAGAGATTGTGTTGTATAAGAATTATCATCATCATCATCAATTTCTATACATTTTTGATTTATCCATTTGTATTTGAGTAGAGCAGCATATTTATTTAATATCACTAATTGACTTAATACATTTTTTGCAATTCGTAAATCCTGTGAGTGGCTAAAAATTTTTGTCGAATTACATAAAAGTAATAATGGTAACTTTTGTTTTTTAATTTAAAAAAGTTATTTGATCATTACTGAAAGTTATAATTATTGTTAAAACAAAATAAATTTTTTTTTAGAGTTTTATTAGTTAGTAAAGACTAAAAGATAAAAACATAAAAAATTATAATTTTGGTAAATTAATAATAATGAAGGGGTTTTACCTTTCTGGTATATGACAATTTTCACCATAATTTTTGTGCACTTTTAAATTATCCAAAATAACTTTTCTGTCGTTTCCATCATTGATTCCAACATTGAAAAGATCATCATCAGTCATGTTTAAAAAAGTAGTTAAGGACATGTTTAAATTAACAAAATTATTCAAGTATTTTCCCATGTTCATGCCGTGAAGAATAAGTTCAATGTATTGCCATTCACTTTTTGTATAAAAATAAAAAATTTAAATTTATTTTAATTCATTTTAATATAATTTAACATTGAAATGGTGATGATTCTGAATATGAAATAAATATCATTTATTATAAATTATCAAATTTACCTGTCTGGATTATGGCCATTATTTTTTTTGTATGAATTATTTTCAATTAACAATAAATCTTCATCGTTATTTTCCTCGTTATAATTAGAATTTTCTGGAAAAATTTTGTTTGAAGTCGATGAATAATCCATAACGGGTTACGATATTAACAAAAAGGCGGTTAAAAGTGAAATTACTTATGTAAATCCGTTGGAATTTGTCGCGCGGCAGGCATTTTACCGAGAAAAATGTTTTGAAACTTTTTACTTTAAGAGTAAAATTTTTTGTTTTAAGGGATAAATATAATAAAAGGGATGAAAAGTTTAAAATTTAGAGATTAATTGTTAATTATTAAATTTATTTTAGTAAAATGCGGGAAGGGGGAAGGGGGGAAGGAAAAATAGAAAAACCTTGAATAATAAAATCATCTGGAAATCACGTTCTGATCAATTTTTTTTTTTTGAAATTTAAGTTCATAGTTCAGGCACAAAACCTCGACCGCGCATACAAAAAAAAGATCCGTTATTTTTTCCTTGAAATTAAAAAAAAAAAAAAAAAAAAAATTCCCTTTCATTTTTAAACTCGTTTTTTTTCTACTACTTCTAATATTTTTTAAAAGTTTTATTTAACGTACAACGAAACACGTAAACATTTTTTTGACGATTAAAAATATTTGAAATTATCATTAGAAATTTCCCATTAAATGACATTTTAAATTTATTTATTTATTTATAACTTATTACTAAAATTATTTTAACGACATTTTCACAATTTCTAACTAAAATTTAATATGAAATCTCAATTCACCTTTAAGTATATACACGGTGGAAATGTTTTTCTTCTTATTTCTCGATAATCGTTTAACCGGAAATCCCTATTTCGATTCGATATCACACCCCCTCGACCTCAAAAAAAAAAAAAAAAAATTAATAATATATATTATTATAGTTATTTAATTATAATTAATAATAAAAAAAAAAAAAACCTTTTGATAAATAGAAAAATCTTATTTGCCTTGAAATTTTCAATTCTAGCAAAAGGGAAAAAAATTTGACCTTCGTTACAAAAAACAGGAAAGAACATCTTTAAATATAATTTTTCTTTCTTTTTTTATTTTCTTTCTTCGTCGTCCATCATTTTAAAACTAAATAATAATAAATATTTCTTTTTAAAACGATGTTAATTATCGATAATAATAATAATAATAATAATAATAATAATAATAATAATAATAATAATAATAATAATAATAATAATAAATAAAAAAGTTTAAAGTTCATTCACATATTTCAAAAAGAAAAAAAAAAAAAAAAAGAAAACAAAATGTCTTTTCAATAAAACTTTCTAAATTATTAATTATTATTTTAATTGCTTTACAAGCAAGAACAATTAAATTACGTCATAGATAATACGTCATTTTTTAAGAATAATAATGATGATGATAAATATGGATGTGGGGGGAAATAGAGGGGGAAGGGTGGGAAACACAAAAAAAACATGGAAGAAGAATAAATAAGAATTTTGTAAATTTTTTTATTATTTCTTTTTAAAAAAATTATTATTAATAATAATAATAATAATAATAATAATAAATAATGATATTTTTTTTATTAACGTCGTCGTAAATTATTATTTAAAATAATGATAATAAATAACAAACAAATTGTTGTTGTTGTTGTTGTTGTAACTTTGCAATTCTAATGTGATAACATTTGAATAAAATAAATTTTTGTTGTTGTTGTTGTATTGATGAGACCTTGTCAAATAACATTAAATCATTTATTATAAAACAAAATGAAGGAAAATTGCAAAATATTTTAAAATAAAAAAAAGTTTGTTTTGGAAAGAAAGAAACTTTTAAAACGTCATTATTATTATTATCGTACGAAATCATTTTTTGTGTTATGAAAAAAAAAAAAAAATGCATCTTTTTTAAATGTCACCGATAATTGTCTCCCCCCCCCCCTCTCTCTCTCTCTCTCTCTCTCTCTCTTAATAATAATAATTACGAAATTTTTTTTATTTTTTGGGTTTGTCTACGTCATCGTCATCGCCATCATCGCAAAATTCAAACGATTATTATTATTATTAACTTTTAAAATAATTTTTTTTATTAAGCCTTGCAACAACGACAACGACAACCAACAACAACTAGTTTTTAAATTTTTTTATTGCAACGAATACATATATATATAAAACAACCCAGATATTTTACCCCGTATCGCGATGATAATAATAATAATAATAATAATAATAATAATGATAATAATGATAATATTTAGGATTATATTACGAATTGTTGTGTAGTATTATTACGTGACACCTGATTCGAATTAACAAATCGTTTTTTTATTTATAAATAAATAAATATGATTGCGACTTTTTATTTATATATATTGCAGTAATTAAAAAACACAATCATCGAAATAATGATGATAATGATAATGATAATAAAATGGGGGGAAAAGTTTTCGTTTTTTAGTAGAATTTTGTGTGTGTGTGTGTGTGTGTGTGTAGAAAGGAAAGAAAGTAGTTGTTGACATTAAAGAAATTATTATTATTATTAAGGTAAATCATTTCGTTAAATTTATGAAATCATTTTTTTAAAAAAAAAAAACCTTGACAAAAGTATCGCCATTACCACCATTTTGAAAGTGAATTTGTTATAACCGACAAAACAGAAGAAAAGGTCGTAATTTAAAAAAAAAAAAAAAAAAATCTAACAAAGTCATCAATTGCGTTGTAAAAAAAAATTTAATTTGTTGTAAAAAGAGAGAGAGAGAGAGAGTGAGGAGTGAGTGAGAAAGAGAGAGAGTTAAAAATTTTTTGGCATTTTTATTTATTTGGCTTTGATTTTATAAATTTTTTTTTTATTTTGGAAATTTTTATTTAAAAAGAAAATTACGGTGGGTGATTGTAATGCTTCCCTTAACAAACAACAACAACAACAACAAACTTTCTTTGGCAAAAAATAAAAAACAAACAAACAAACAAACAAACAACCGAAAAAAAAAATTATTAATAAATAAATATAAATGGGAAACACCCAAAGGTATAGAAAATTTATTGAATTTTCTTTTCTTTTCTTTTCTTTTTTTTTTTTTTGACATCATGAATAATAATAATAATAATGATAACATGTCAAAAAAGTGAAATTATTATTATTATTATTTATTTATTTTAAAGATTTCTGATGACACTTTTTTTTTTTTTTAAAAGAAAACTTTCCACCATTTTGTGTTCGTGAATAGAATAAAATTAATTAATACCGCGAGGGAGTAATAGAAAGCAAATATTATTTAATAATAATGATAATAATAATAAAAGCATACGTATAGACACGTAATGATGATAATGATGATGATAAAAGGTAAATTTCAAAGTCGGAAGAATTCGATGAAATGAAAAGGAGGGAAAAAAAAAAAAACTTTCAACCGCGACCAGTTTTTTAAATAAAAACTTTCTTCGAATCCGACGAAAACGTTATTAAATAATAATAATGATGATGATGATAATAATGATAAAGGCGAAGAAAAAAAATTTTTTATATTTAATTCACATAATAAAAATGAAAGAAGAAGAAATATATAGATATTATTGACGCAAGTTAAAGAAGGCAAAAGAAAGGGAAAGTGTGGTAGGTAGTGAGTCCATCGCTGTCCAATTGTCTGGCACCAGACCCTACCCCTCTATGGTACCTTAAGAACTACTACTACTACTACTCAGGTTGGGTAACAAACAAGTTCTGAACTTTAATCGATTCGCTGGTTGTAATTTTACTTTTAACCCGTGTCGTGCAATATGGATTCTTAATTTTATCATTTCGTTAAAGTTTAAAAAAAAAAAAAAAATTTTTTTTTTTTTTTTTCGGTTGTTGTTGTTGTTGTTTAAAAAAAATTTATCATTATTATTTATTTCTTTTTTTATTTTAAATATTACTAATAATAATAATAATTTTTTAAAAGTAAACATACGTTATACGTAATTAATATATATTTGTCGAAAGAAAAAAAAAGGGGGAAAGAAAAATGAAATATTTTCGGATAGCATTATCATTAGGGTAAGTTTAATTATTATTATTAATATTATTTTTTAAAATTTAAAAGTGGAAGAAGACAAAGGCTGTTCGTACGAAATGGGGTAAGGGGGAGTGGGTGGGTGGAAAAAAAAAAAAAGAAAAATATACAAGTGGATAAAAACGTGTTACAGATTGATCGCAGCATCATTAGTATTAGTTTTATCAGAAGAAATCGAAGAATACGATTACGAAGATGATGGTGGTGCTGCACCACCACCGCCACCACCACCTCAACACGTTGGTAGAGGTCGGATACCTTTACCATCATCCAGACAAAATAAAGGTCCGGCACTAATTGGAAATGCTAATAAAATTAACGGAAAACCTGGGGTACGTTTCCCTCCCTTTTCTTCTCCCACCCTCTCCCTCTACATCGATTTTAAAATGTTTTTTTATATTTAAAACAGGCTGGAGGAAAAGGTGCACCACCTGCAAAATCAACTGCGGCTCCACCAGTTCAAGAACCCCAAGAAGAGGAAATAGATGAATACGATGAAGGAGTCGAAGAACCCGTAGAACAAACATCAACGGAAGCACCAAAAAAAACAATCAAACCCATCGTGAGACCTTTCAGGTAACTAAAATTTTCTTATACCTTGTTTTTATATTATTATTATTATTACAACAACAACAACAAACACTTTCACTAATACAATTTTACCCTTTAAAAAAAAAAAAATCAAGTATTAACATCATCGTGTTTGTACGTGTTGGAATTCGTTAATAATAATAATCTTAAAGATCATCTTCATCGGTATATTGTGCAAGTGTTGCATCATGTAAAAAAATTTTTTTTTTATTAATTATTAAACGTAGAAGAAGCAACAAACAAACAAACGAACAAACAATAAGTTGTTATTTTGAGGCAACGCCCAATTAAATTTTCTTTTTTTTTTTTGGGTACTTCCCCGTTAGGCTAAAAAGATTTCCTATGAATATAAATATGACTGTTGAAAATTTTTGTTTGTTTGTTTGTTTGTTTTAATGATAAATTTCAATACCTACTGTTTGTTTGATATTATTGAAAGGTATTAAGGTTTTTTCTAAGAAAATGATGAATTATGGAAATAATCAAGTTGTTGTTGTAGAGGTCAGTCGTTATTTACGGTGAAATAAAAAAACTTGATATAGTTTGTTGGATGGTTGTTGGGAAAGGGCAAGGACAAACCATCATCGATTGTATGTTGGTCTCATATCGTTTGTTTTTTTTTACAGGAGTAATGATGATTTATTGGCAGCATTGAAAAGAAGGCGTCAACAAGCTCAAAATTCAGGATCCGTAGTTGATAAAACAAACAGCAGTCCTTCGACTTCGACAACAACCGCACCACCATCCAATAAGAAATCATCAAATTCATTCGGGTAAGTGTTTGTTTCTTTTTTTATTATATTTTTTTTGTAATAATATTAATTGATTGATTAAAACGACAGGAGAAATCGTAACGGCGGTGGTGGAAGAGGTGGTCAACAACAACAACAACCACAGGATGAATACGTAGAACCTGAAAGTCCTAAAAAAGGAAGTCAATCACGTAATAAATACAATACGAAAAATGGTTCGAGATCTCCCCCGGCTCCCGTACTCGAAGATATACCCGTAGAAGAACAAGCTAAACCAAAATTCGGTCGTGGTTCTAGAAGATCTTAAAACACTCTTAATAATAATAATAATAATAACAACAGCAGCACTTCGGTAATAAAAAATTCAGAATAAAGAATTATCGGGGGGAAAAAATTGAAAACAACCGGCGGCGACAGCTTCACAAAAACTAAATTATTTTTTTATAAAAAAATTTTTTGTTTGTTGTTGTTGTTATTATTATTATTATTAATTCTTTTTTTTTTTTAAAAAAAACTCTGTAATTTTTAAATTGTATAAATTTTTTTTTTTTTTAAGTCATATAAATATAAATATAATATATATGTAAACAAACAAACGAAAACAAACACGCACACACATATTTACAAACATAATTATTATTATTATTATTATTGCTTAACAATCAAAAAATTGAAACGAACCGTTTGTATTGTTTGTATTGACAAACTTTTTTTTTTTTTTTGATCCTACAATTTACACGCCCAAAAATTAATAATATTATAACGGATTTTTTGTTTTTTTTTTTTTTTTTTTGCATTTCTAGGCGTGTTTGTCGTTGTTCGCATCAAATAATAATAATAATAATAATAATAATAATAATAATAAATAATTTTAAACAAAAAAAAAATTTTTAGATTTCGTTCCATTAATTATTGAAATTATTATTGAAATTATTATTAATATTATTATTATTATTATTATTATTATTATTATTATTATTATTATTATTATTATTATTATTATTATTAAACAATCGTTAATTAATTTTTTTTTTATTCGCACGGGAAATCGTGACGTAATCATTTTTAAGGAAAAAAAAAGAGAGAGAGAGAGAGGGAAAGAAAATTTTTACAACGAATCATTTTATTTAATTGTTGTTGTTCCTAATTTAAATTTTTTTTGTTTGTTACGTGGAAAAAGATTGAAAGGAATAATTGTTGAGGATACAACAACAACAACAACAACAACAAACAAACAAACGAACGAACGATTTTTAAAAATTGTTTGTTGTTCATTTTATTGAATTTTTATGTTGAGAACGTGAAATTATTATTATTATGTTTGAACGATTTTCACGTATTACCGCGCACCCACACATGAATAATTAACGTGGGGGGAATGTAGGGGAGGGGTGGGAGGAGGAGGAGTGAGAGAGGGAAGGGAGGGATTTCAATAATCTATTGAGAGAGAGAGAGAGAATAAAGAGAGACACAAAGTCAAAGTGAAATTTTTTTTACAACTTTTGATAATTTCTTGCAAATCATTTGCCATTATTATTATTATTATTATTATTATCATCATCATTATTATTATTATTATGTAAGTTTCTAGAACTTTTTAAAAAAAAAAAAACGGTTTTTTTTACTCCTACCAGTTCTCCTTCACATTTAAAGATGAGAAGACTATTAAGAAGTCTAGGAAATGGCAATTGCTCATATATTCATTTCTCTCTCTCTCTCTCTGGGGTTAAAGAGAGAGAGAGAGAGAGAGAGAGATTAATCCTTGAAGTATTTTTAGTTTTTTTCTTAATCATTTAAAAAAAGAAAAATTTTATTATAACAATAATAATAATATAAAAAGGATTTGCATGCTGTGTAAATTTAAAGGTTGTGACGTTTTGGATTTGGGGGGGGGGTGGAAGGATAGAGATAGGAGGAGGAAGGTACTTCTTGTGAAAAGCAATATGTATTTAATGTAAAATCCGTGCCAAAGGAGAAAAAGGAAGGGGGAAGGAGGGGGAATTTTTATGAGGAACGGTTTTTCCGATAATCGTAAAAAAAAATTTATAAATAATTCAGGTACGAAACAAAAAAAACGTTTTTTTTTTTTAGAAGAGAGGCGTCGGTTATTTCATATTTAACCGTATAAACTAAATTATTATCATTATTATTATTATTATTATTCGACTTTCACTCTTCTTCTTCTTCTTCTTTAAAACAAAACAAAATTTTTTAAATTTGAAAAAAAATGTCACGTGGCGCCTACTTTTAACGTTTCCAAATCCCCCCAGAAAAAAAAAACCTGATACGTCGTAACATTTTATTATTATTATTATTATTATTATTATTTATTTGGAATTTGTCAACTTCTAGGTATTCCACATATTTATCTGGAAATGAGTCAAAAAGGGGGAAAAAAACAATTTCCTATAATTAATCCCCGGAAAATTTTTATCGATAAGGATAAGGGGGAGGAGGAGGATAAAATTATTTATTTATCCGGGATATTTTTCGAAAAGTCGGGCGGCCATTTTGTTTTTCGCAACATTAATAATTTACAAAATAACTGGAATCTGGTTAATGCCTACGATTGCGACTTTTTTAGTTAATTATGTACCCGTTGGAAAGTTTTTTTTTTTTTTTGGGGGAAAAGGGAGAGGGAAATTTATTTTAAGATCTCTCCCTCCCCCCCGAAAAAAAAAAAATTATTTAAACAATTGTTTTTTTATTTAGTCGGTTGTAAGGGGGGAGGGGGGAACTTGTTGTTAAATTATTGACTAATAATAATAATAATAATCAAAGGAAAAATGTCAGGACACACAAATTTTCTTTAAGCTTTTCTTGGAAAAAAAAACATGGCGTCATTCGTTTGTAAATTTTTTTTTTGTAAAAACCAGGAAGTTAAAACGTACATCAAACATGTTTATTATTTTAAAACTTTAAAAAAAAAAAAAAAACATTTTATAACACAGTGGCCGATGATGAACTTTGACCCCGGACGTAATTAATTATTATTATTATTACACGTACATGACACGGAATTAAAATATTCTGGAAAGGTACGAAAGGTAGTTGATTAGAAAGAAATTTTTCGAGAGATATTGAAAAAAGGAAAAAATTCGTCGCTGTTCGGGAAGAAACGAATAATAATAATGATGATGATGATGATGATGGGGAGTTAAAATAAATAAAAAAAAAAAAAAAAAACGATGAGAAAGATTTAAAAAACAAGACAAACCGGGTACAAACCTAGGCTAAACACACTTTCTCAAGGTACCTCTTTCTTCTCTACCCATGGATGGAATATCTTCGTGTGGCACATGCCATGCCGGGGCCCCC